ATCGTCTCATTCTTCCAAAGTAGAATCGAAGTTACATTATCAGAGGTATTTGCATCTATTTGGTTTCTGCCGGTTCCAGTGTTTATGACAGAGGCTTGAATGAATTATTGTCTTTTGCAGAGAATGGAGGATGGAGGAGAAAAAGTGTTCAGGTTACGAATCATCTGAAAATGTCACTTTTATATGTGGAAACGGTGTATGCCTTTATAGTTGACATTTCTCTTGGCAAAAAGCCAAACTAGTAACCTTGGGTTTAACTCTTTCTCGTGGATGTAGATGGCCTGGAATTATTGTAATTGTCAGGGAAAAGTCAACCTAGGATAAAGAATGCGTTTTGGATAACACTGTAACATGTTGACAGAAAATAGCCATCCTCTTTCCTTTTAGCTCACTGCTCCAAGGCTACCTGCTTTCTTGTGCTGACATTAGTGTCTCTTTTCTTTCCTGATTGCTACTCTCCAAAAGGCCCTGGCATAGTCCCAAACTGCTTAATTTCAATGTCTTGAAAGAGGTTTTATAGCCAGCCCTCTGTGATGACAAATCAGGGTAATTGCTGTGGTCTCCCCATTTGAGGGGCTTTGTGCTGCTGCAGTAACTGCTGGCTCAGCAGTGGTTTTCAGGGAAGCAGCTGGCAGGAGGGGAAGGAGATGGTGTCTACAGCTGATATAAAATGACAATAGGTTCATTTGTAGACTCACAACGGATGATGTGCCCTGCCCCAGAGCACTCGCGGTATTTTTAGTTCATTTTGTGACTTCTTTTCCACTTGAAGCTCCTTTTGAAATTTATTTTACTGAGATTTCTCTTAGGGAAATAGTAACACAGGAAAAGGCTTGTAGAAACTGACAAAAATAAAATTACCTGATGAAATGTCTATCAAACAGTGAGGAACTCACAGTTACTATAGGGCTGGGGAGGGATGTGTTTTCTGGGAGGGACAGAGGGAAGGTTTGCTTGCTGCCCTGGAGAGCCAAGAGGAGGCTGAGCCCTGGGTCCCAAAAGGGTAAACTTGGGCATCACAGAGCCTCAGTGGCTGTGATGAGACTTGGTCTGGCTTGCTGCTACTTGAACGGCTTTGGGCACTTGGACTGGTGCCTCTGAATGGGGAACCATGGAAGGAGAGTAAAGGATGTCTCCATCTTTGAAAGTAAATGAGTCCATTGTGGCTGAACCCCAAGGCTCCACAGAGGAAGTCCAGCTGTTAGACGCGTGCCCTGGATGCCGAGGGAAGACAAGAGTGGCCTGAACAGTGGTTTCAGTGGCCATGCAATGTCATCACTGAGGGTGCATTTTTGGCAGAAATCTCCTGGAAACATCAAAAGCAGATGTCTGGATTTGTTAGGTGCTGTGGACCTCACTGTCTGGAAGAGTAAGAGGCCAAGTGAAACCAGAAGATGATTGCACAGTTGACCCTTGAACACTTGAACAGCATAGGTTTGGACATCAAGGTCCACAAATAGGTGGATTTTTCTTCCACCTCTGCCACCCCTGACACAGCAAGACAAACGCCTCCTCTTCCTCTCCCACCTCCTCGTCAGCCTGCTCAACATGAAGACAATGAAGGCGAAGATTTGTATGATGTTTCATTCCGACTTAGTTAATAGTAAATATGTTTTCTCTTCGTTATGATTTTCTTAATTACATTTTTCCTCTAGCTTACTTTATATGATATATATGATATAGAACTAATGATATATAGCTATATGATATAGAACTAATTAAATATGTGTGAATATCCTGATTATATTTTCACTTAGGCTTCCAGTAAACAGTAGGCTGTTAATAGCAAAATTTGGGGGGAAGTCAAAAGTTATACATTGAGTTTTAACTGTGCTGTGGTAGGGGATTTGTGTCCCAAACCCCTGTGTTGTTCACAGATCAACTGGAATTTGTGAGGTACATGTACCCATCCCTTGATTTAGAGACTCGAGATTAATTCTTGAGTTCTGCAGGATGAGGAGTATTATGGGGTGACAGTGTTACCAAGCCAGGTCTCCTTGGCAAATAATTTTAATATTATGCGCTTGCCTTTTGTAGGCATTTTAGGCTGTAGTGGCCTAGAGAAACACCTGCTTTGCCAAGATGCTTTTTTTTTTTTTTTTTTTTTTTAAGAGATGAGGTCTTACTGTGTTGCCCACATAAACTCTTGGGCTCAAGCGATCCGCCCATCTTCGCCTCCCAGTGCGGAGATTAAAGGCCTGAACCACCATGCCAACCCTTGGCGCTTCCAGTTGGAACATTTAAACTTACGCTAGTACACAAGAATCAAAGAGAAGAAATACGTTCTTTTTAATATAGAACATAATTGTTATGTTTGTTTTGTATACATTAATGGTTAAATTTTCTTAATTATTTGCTCTTCTCCTCAACTATGTATAAACTGGTAAATTCATATATTGGGTTTATAGTTTTAGTTATTCTATTTTTATTTGTAGGTATCCATTTTACTATTTTGTCATTTTTATTGAAAATAATTTTCTATATAGCCACCTAGTGTTTGAAAATGTAAATGTCTCATGTGTGTGTGGCTTTTTTTCCTCTTATCCCTTTTAACTTTTGGTTTTTAAAATTATATTCTCGTCTCCTTGTATAGCTTATAAATTTTGGTTCGAGAAAAGACTTTGCATATAAATATATAGACGTAATCTGAGGTTCATACAGATGTTAGTTTCTTCCAGAGAGAATTTACTTTTATTCCTGGCAAAATAAAATCACAGGTACAATTTATCTCATTCTAATGAGAGAAGTAAGGACTGTGGACTTAATAAGGGCTTGTGGAATATGTAGGCTGCAACCCTTATGAGGTGTTGGTTATTACTCATTTATTTTTCCTCTGGTGTTATATCTTGCTGATGTTTTTCTCTAGGAGGGTGTACATATCAAATATGTTACTTAGTCCTTTGAAATTACTGGGATTCGCTGTCTTTGCCTCTCAGCAACGATGTTACAGTGAGGAAATGAGGGGAAAAGTGTCTCTGGAGCGGATGCACAGCTCTGAGCTTTTCTTTTTCCCAGGAGCTTGGCTGGTCAAGTCTGTGTTGCCTTGGTAACATCGCAGCGCTCTCTAAAATGTTTTGATCCTCGTTAACCAAGATTATTTCCCTGTTTTAATCATTGTTCCTGAAGTAGAACTGATTTGTAATAAGGTGGTTCACCATGTCCCGTTTGGAAATACCGTGTTTATCAAGAGCCCATCATTTCTTTTTCTCTTTCAAGTGCAAGGACATTTTCATTACGGTGCTCTCTGTCTTAAGTGACAAACACGGTTCTCATTCATACACAGCCTTACCAGCTGTTGGAATTACAGCATAATTAGATGGCCTTCTCCCTGACGTAGGCATAAATTATAAGACCAAGCTTGAGTCAGGATCTGTGTCATTTGGAAAGTTCATCAAAATGTTGAGAGGTAGGTTCCACCCCTAAAGTTTCTTTTGGATTCAGTAGGTCTGGGTTAAGACCTGAGAATTTGCATTTTTGCAGGATCTCAGATGATGCTGATGTTCCCGGACTGAAAGCCATGGTGTCATGTCAGACTAGCATGCTGTCTGTCTTCACTTTATCTGCAAAAATTTACAGATATATTGGAAGGTTTGTTTTAATAAAAGTAAAAGACGTGTGTGCTATAATAATTAGACTGCAAACATTTGTCTTTTCTCAGTTTTATTATTTATTATGAACATGTTGTTACATGTTATGTTGATTCCGCCTGATAAAACACCTTAAGTGTTTCCTCCTTCCTGTTGTCTTCCAAAAACTAGGGATAAATATCTAAATGTAATCACTATAATGTGGTTCTATATCAACAAACTATTTCTAAAGTTTATAGGAAGAGGGAAAAGACCCAGAATGGCCAACACCATATTGAAGGAGAAGAGTAAAGTCAGGCAGCTCATATTACCCAGCCTCAAGTCTTTCTATAAAGTGCTAGTAATCAAGATGGTGTTGTATTCAGTGAAAGTCTAAACAATATCTCAGTGAAACCGAATGGAAAAACCAGAAAGAGACTCACACAAGTGTAGTTAGCTAATATTTGAAAAAGGAAAAAGAATACAGTAAAAAGATGATATTTTTCACAGATGGTACTGGCAAAACTGATGAGGAACTATTACCTGAGCTATACAGAGAACTCTTAAAACTCAACAATTAGAAATATCCTGATTAGAAACAGACAAAATACCTGAACAAGCATCTCATCAAAAAAAAAAAAATATATATATATATTTATATTATAAACATATATAAATATATATGTTTATATTTATATATATGTGTGTGTGCATATATGTATATATATGTGTGTGTATATGTATATATATATATGTGCATGTGTGTATATATATATATATTTGTGTGTGTGTGTGTGTGTGTGTGTGTGTGTATATACACGCACACACAAATGGCAAATTGGTTTCATTCTGGTGGGGGATATTGCCAGTGGGGTGACTGTGCAAGTTAGGGCAAGAGGTAGATGGGAACTCTGTGCTTTCTACTCAGTTTTGCTGTGAACCCAAAACCTTTTATAAAGGGGAGTCTACTGGAGAAAAAATAACAAACTAAAATAAATTTAAAATAAGAAATAAATTACTGCTGTGTAGTACAGGCTTCACATTTTGGGCATGTTTTGTGATAATTACACATTTAATTTAAAGTGGACAAGCTTCCAAATTAGTTATCTTAAAATGATAGATATTTGGAAGTCTTCTTGTCATTTTTTTTTTTTTGTGAGGTTGAATTTTACACAATTGGTTTCTTTATAGGTAAAACCTGTGGAAAACCAGTGTTTCAGAGGATTCAATTTAACAGTTACCTCTACTGCTATTATTATTATTATTCAAGTTTTAATTTAACATTTATTGAAAATGAATTTTTTTTTAATTGTACTTTAGGTTCTGGTCTCTTGTCATTTAATGTGCTAGGGAAATTCCCTTTTTAATTCTACTTGTTTCCAAAGCATCCTATTTCTATTATGCCTATAATTCCCATTTTTGTCTTTTTTCTAGAGATTAAGAGATACGGTTTTTCTTTAGAATTATTATTTTCTGTGACACTCATAAAAGAACATCCTGAAAGTGCTGTATGTCTCCCCCACCGTGTAACTATTATACCCAAGTCCTGGCAATGATGGAAAAGAAAAATTACTTTTTGGCATCTGAGCGCAATTGAAAAGAGCTCCCTTTCTCTGTTTGGCATAGGAAATGGGAAGGTGAATGTTTGACTCAGAGAGCAAACACGTAGAAATATCCCTTACAGATCTGATAATCCCATTTTTATTAGGTGTATTCTCAGCTCGTTCCCAAAGCTAAACTCAGTTCAAAATAATAAAATTGCATACAATGATGATATTTTTTGAAGAATCATAGTGTGCTACTCTTAATATTTCAACCTGCAGAAAATTATAGAGGTTGGAAGACACAACAAACTCAAATGTCATAGTCTTAAGTCTCAAACATTTTACTTTTTTTTATGATTATATATACCACAACATTCTCTTTTTTCTTTCTTGCCAATAAAGAGGAGACATTACTAGAGAAACTGCGAGTTTTATCAGACTGAATTAAAACTAGAAACTCAGACTTAATTGAGAAATAATGCTTATGGGGATACAATTTATAATAACTAAAATTTCATCTTATTACAATGGTCTCAGAATGACAATCTAATCATATTTGTTAGATTGTTTATTCCTATAGAATTTACAGAACTCACATTATTTGAATTAAATATTGGTATAAAACTGTTAATGATACACATTGTATAACATTTTAAAAACAGGATTTAATAAAATATAATGCATGTATAGAAAGTTCCTAAAACATAGGCATACCATTTAATCATTAAAAAACAAACAAACAAAAAAACCTCAAACCCCTGTAGACAAGCTACATGTCAATTAAAGTCAATTGCTAGCCATTGTACTGCCTGCTCCCTACTTTACACAACCCACTTGCTTTCTTCTTAGGTAACTGTTATCTTGAAAGGCTTGGCAATAATGGCCTTGCTTTGCTATACCACTTTTTTCTTTCTAGCCATGAATGCATTCCAAATGCTATAGTTTATTTGAATCAAATCATATATATGTTTGACTCTGTATTGGTTTCTTTTAGTTAACATTACATTCCTTGAGAGTCATTCGTGTTCTATGTAGCTATAATTTAATAATTTTACTTGCTGTATACTCTTACTATGACACAGTGTGTTACTGCATTCATCTACAGAATATATATTGGACATACAGTTTATTGATATTTTCCACATCGGCACATTGTTGGGACTACTAAGGAGAATGCTTCTGTGAACGCTTGGGTACACGTGCTTCTTTAGTGCACTTGAACACAATGGTGTTCGGTTTACATGAGAAATGAGGAGTCGGAGGCGGGTGGATCACTTGAGGTCAGGAGTTCAAGACCAGCCTGGCCAACATGGTGAAAATAAACACAAAATACTAAAAATACAAAAAATTAGCTGAGTGTCATGGCACATACCTGTAATTCCAGCTACTTGGAGGCTGGGGCAGGAGAATCATTTGAACATAGGAGGCAGAGGTTGCAGTGAGCCAAGATTGAGCCACTGCACTTCAGCCTGGGCAACAGAGGGAGACTCCTCATTAAAAAAAAAAAAAGAAAAAGGAAAAAAAAAAGGGAGGCGTCCATCTCACAGCTGTGTTGGAGCGTCTCCATTACAACAGTTCCTCACCACAATTTAGCTCTTTCTGTCTTTTTAATTGTAGCTTTGGAAGGTAAACACAGGATATACAACAGTGGTTTTAAATTGCATGTCTTTGATGAACACTTTGGTTGAATACTTTCTCTAACTTGAATGTCCAAAATCTCTTTTCTAAAAAGCCTCATTAATGCTCTTGCCCACTTTCCTACTGGCTTTTCTGTTTTTGTTTTAGTCTATATTATTATTAATTGTTGTATTTTTGTTTACGTTACTCAGTAATATGTTTTGGAAAAAAATTTGTATTTGGCAGCATTGAGAAATTTACAAAATAGTTAAATTGTTTATTTAAAAGTTTTGTATTTTCTATATGTAGACTCATATTATCAACAACAATGATGGCCTTGTTGTATCTTCTATACCTAACATTTAATTTCTTTCTTTCCTTACCACATTGGGTAAAAGTTGAAAATTATTGATCATTAGTGGTAGTGGAAATTTCTCTTTTGTTACTGATATCCAATGAATAGTTTAATTAATTCACCATCAAATACATTTTTAGAAAATACTAATATCCTTATTTGGATTATGAATTTTTAAAAATTATATTTTAAAGATAATTTCCATTTTTAAAAACTCATAAATACACATTGAATTTTATCACTTTTTCTACATTTTTTGAGTACGTGATTTTAATAGTTCATTTGGTTCATTTTGTGAATTATATTGTGGCTTTAAAATCTCACTGTATTTAATTAATAAATTAATACCTCATATAAACAATGATTAAAATATAAATTTCCCTTTTCATGAATATTCTTGTCAGGTGCTGTTCCTTGAGATTCATTCTCATTGTTCACTCATTCATGTAAAGTTATGGCAGTCCATAAATTAAGTTTGGACTGATTACCCTTTTATTCTACTGTCTGGAAGACTTTACAAAAATTTAGATCATTTTAAAAAAACAGTTAATAGAAATTAAAAGATTCACAGGGTCCTCAAGCATTTTTATTTGAATGTTTTAAATCTCAGATTAAATTAATAACTATAGGATTCTTTATTTAAAACAAATTTCTTTCTGCATCTATTCTGACATTTGTCTAAGAATTAATATGTTTAATTTAATATTTTTTTGATATGGAGTCTTGCTCTGTTGCCCAGGCTGGAGTGTGGTGGTGCCATCTCAGCTCACTGCAACCTTCATCTGCTGGGTTCAAGTGATTCTCCTGCCTCAGCCTCTCCAGTAGCTGAGATTACAGACATTTGCCACCAAGCCTGGTTAATTTTTGTATTTTTTGTAGAGACGGAGTTTCGCTATGCTGACCAGACTGCTCTTGAACTCTTGACCTCAAGTGATCCACCCTCCTTGGCCTCCCAAAGTGCTGGGATTACAGACATTAGCCACTGCACCCAGAGACTCATTTAAATTTTAAAAGTAACTTGCAAAATATTATGTATAAGATCCTTTTAACATAATTATAATATCTGTAGAATCTGATATGGATATTAATAATTTATGTTGATGTTTGCCCTGAGTATTTATTATTCCCTATTGACAATTATTTTTTGTTTTGTTGAATACCCATTTGTATACATGTTTTCTTTTTCATTAGTGCCTGCATTCAATATTGTCTTTGTTTTTTTTCTTTCTTTCTTTCTTTTGGGTCTTTCTTTATCACGCTTTCTCTCTCACTAAAGTTTTTCTAACTTCTTAATCTAGATTCCTGAATTACAGATGTTCATATTTTAAAAAATGCATGCATATAAGGTATAAAAGCCGAAGAATAGCCTTTGTTGAATCTCTCATTTGATATTTCATATTTCACTGTCTTTTAGTTCAAACCATTTTTTAACTTCGTATTTTTTTCGAGAGGGCTCACAGCAACCTCTGCCTCCCGGGTTCAAGCAATTCTCCTGCCTCCGCCTCCCGAGTAGCTGGGATTACAGGCACGCACCACGACGCCTGGCTAATTTTATGTTTTAGTAGAGACGGGGTTTCTTCATGTTGGTCAGGATAGTCTCAAACCCCAACCTCATGTGCTCCACACACCTCAGCCTCCCAAAGTGTTGGGATCACAGGCGTGTGCCACCTCTCCCGGCCTGAACTTCATTTTTGATTTCTTCTTTGATCTGTGGAAGCATGTTGCTTAATTTTCACATATTTTGGAGGGGATAGTCTAATTTTTTGTGCATGTTGTTCTTTCATTTAATTCTATTTAGGACATCACATGTTATTTGGATGACGTATTTAATACCTGTTTTATTACCTAAATCTAATGATATAATTATTATAAAATTGTAATCATTTCTTGTCATTTCCAGTTCACTTGAAAATAATTTGTGCTCAGTTTTTTTCGTTGAGTCAAGTGTCTTAAATGCAATAAATTAAGCAGATTGTATTAATTGAATTGTTCAAAACTTTTGAGGCTAGATGGATTTTTAACTCTTATTTTATTAGTTATTCAATGAATTCTAGTAAACTTGTTCTACCATTATCAGTCTGTTCATTTCTTTTTTTGTAGGTCCATCAGTTTTCATTTCTTTTCTTTTTTTTTTTTTTTTTTTTTTTTTTTTGAGACGGAGTTTCGCTCTTGTTACCCAGGCTGGAGTGCAATGGCGCGATCTCGGCTCACCCCAACCTCCGCCTCCTGGGTTCAGGCAATTCTCCTGCCTCAGCCTCCTGAGTAGCTGGAATTACAGGCATGCGCCACCATGCCCAGCTAATTTTTTGTATTTTTAGTAGAGACGGGGTTTCACCATGTTGACCAGGATGGTCTCGATCTCTTGACCTCGTGATCCACCCGCCTCGGCCTCCCAAAGTGCTGGGATTACAGGCTTGAGCCACCGCGCCCGGCCCATTTCATATATTTTAAAGGTATGTTATCAGGCTGGGTGTTGTGGCTCAAACCTGTAATCCAAGCACTGTGGGAGGCCGAGGCTGGTGGATCATTTGAGATAAAGAATTTGAGACCAGATCGGCCAACATGATAAAATCCCACCTCTAAAAATACAAGTTTGCTGGGCTTGGTGGCGGGTGCCTGTAGTCCCAGCTACTTGGGAGGATGAGGCAGGAGAATCGCTTGAACCCAGGAGGTGGAGGTTGCAGTGAGCCGAGATCACACCACTGCATTGAAGCCTGGGCAACAGCGGGAGACCCTGTCAAAAAATAATAATAAATAAAAATAAATTAAATAAAGGTATGTTATCAGATATAAAAATCCAAGCATATGATATCTTTTTCATAGGTTTGACAGTATCGTTATGAAATGCCCTTTTTAATTTCTAGAAACAATTTTTGCCTTAGATCAACATTTTCTAATACCAGTATTGTTAAATAAATAGGTTTTTGGTCTCTGTTTGATATCATTTTTTAAAATTCTTTTGTTGACAAATTTTTTGTACTCTTAAGTTTTAGATATGCCTTACAGAGACAGAATATAGGATTTTCCTTTTGCTTTTATTTTTGTTTTATTTTATTTACTTTTTTTTTTTCAACTGTAGTATAAAATCCTTTATAAGAAGCCAGGCATGACAGCTCATTCTTGCAATCCCAGCACTTTAGAAGGCTGAGGTGAGCAGATCTCTTGAGGTCAGAAGTTCAAGACCAGCCGGGGCAACATAGCTAAACTTTGTCTCTACAAAATATAAAAATATTAGCCAGGAGTGGTACTTTGTGTGCCTATAGTCCTACTCAGGAGGCAGGAGTATCATTTGAGCTGAGGAGGTCATGTTAGGGCTGCAGTGAACTGTCACCACTGTAATTCAGCCCGGTTGATAGAGTAATACTCTCTCTCTCTCTCTCTCGCTCTCTCTCTCTCTATATATATATATATATGAGCACATTTATTCTATTTACCTGCCGTATAACTAATACCTTATTTTGATTACATTCTGCCACCTTAACATGTGCCTTACATTTTTCTGTCACATTTGTTTCTTTTTAATCTTCTTTTCTTTTGGGATTGATTATAAACAAATTGTTTATTTTTTTCTGTATATTTATTTTGAAGTTTCACGTATTTCACTAAAGTAGTTCCTTTTCTTTTTATACTTCTAGTAAGTGATTAGCTGAAAGATCACATCTGCTAAAGTTTTCACTTTACAACAGTGGCCCAGAGTATTTTGTAGACTCTTGAATGTTCTTTGCATACTTTTAGAGGATCTGGAAGTTCAAAACTATTTTCATGACAAAATGTAGATGGTATTTGCCTTTTAGACTCTAATTCCTTTATAGGTATAAAGTGAAAGTTTTCCAGAAGCAAAACGATGTGTGGTATCACAAGAGAAGGAATGCAGAAACATATCAGAAATCATCTGCCTTCTATTAAACCAGACTTTAATCTACACATTGCCACTCTTCTTACTAAAATTTTTTGGGAGTTTTTCTCATAAAATAAGTTATACACATTAAGATATAAGGAACTAATCTTTGTATTTTAAGTGAATTCATAAATATATATTTTTAAATTGTAATTTGATTCTCTTTTTTTTTTTTTTTTTTTTTTTTTGAGATGGAGTTTCGCTCTTGTTACCCAGGCTGGAGTGCAATGGCACGATCTCGGCTCACCACAACCTCCACCTCCTGGGTTCAGGCAATTCTCCTGCCTCAGCCTCCTGAGTAGCTGGGATTACAGGCACGTGCCACCATGCCCAGCTAATTTTTTGTATTTTTAGTAGAGACGGGGTTTCACCATGTTGACCAGGATGGTCTCGATCTCTTGACCTCGTGATCCACCCGCCTCGGCCTCCCAAAAGTGCTGGGATTACAGGCTTGAGCCACCGCGCCCGGCCTTGGAATTTGATTCTCTATAATGGAAATATAGTTTTATTTTCTATGGTAGGATGTGAAAGACATATCACAATAAAACCTGCAAAATTCCTTCTGTAAGATTTTAAGAATATTAAGCATTCTTATTCCAAAAAGTTTCAAACTATTTACCCTTTTATACACTTGTACAGTGTTTACTTTAGAGATTACCACTTTTGCATTTGAAATAGCTAGAGATTACAAAATATATCTTTAACTACTAAAATATAATGTTAAATGTTACTAATATCATCTTTCTATGTAAGAAATTCAGATCACTTTAAATAAAACTGTTTTGTTTTGTTTAGTTTTGTTTTGTTTGTCTTCTTGTCACTCTTACTATGTTTTTTGTTGTCTTTGGTTTTCTGAAGACTCATGCTGAAGTGCCTTGGCGTGTTTTTATTTATCTAGCTTTTGTTTTGCTTGTCTTCTGAATCTGTGTATTGACTTATTTTTATCTATTTGGGAAAATTCTTCACCATCATCTCTTTAAATATACCTTCTGTTCATTCCCTTTCTTTGTTGTGCTTGGGTTGGGACTCAGATAGGAAGTTTTGTGTTTCTCACTGTAATACCTTTTTCTCTTATTCTCATGTATGTTTTCCCAAACTTTTGTCTTTCCAATCATTATTCTAGAAATTTTTTCTGAGCCATCTTTCTATTCACTAATTATTTCTTTAGCTGTTTTTTAATATGTTGTTAAACCCAAATGTATGTTTTATAAATATTGTCTAATTTCTAATAAGAACAATTTATAATCTATTATCTATTATGTACTTTGATGGAAGTTTCAATCTTGTATCTTATATTCTTATACATAGCAAACCTAGTTAAATTAATATCTGTATAAGAAAATTTCAATATCTAAAATGCCTAAATATTCAGTTCTGCTGTCTGTTGTTTTTCTTTGTCATGTTTTTCTCCTGATGTAGTTTATGAAGTTTTATTTCCTTATATTCTGGTTATTTTTATTCTGTTCCAAGAAACAGTGCTTATGAAAATCTATTGACACAAGTAATATTATTGTCATCCAGAAAGGATTTCTATTTTATTTAGTCAAGAGCCTGAGAGAACTCTGGGATCATCATGAACCATTTCAAGCTTGATATTTTCTGGATCATTTCAGTGGCTTAAATCTGAGCTCCAGTCTTTGCAAGGGCTTGATGACTTCTGCCTTAGCTTTGTTATTAGGATGCTATTATTTCTGATCCTAATTAAAAATAGAGCATGTTTATGAAGACCTTCACATGTGGAGAATCCTGGACTTTGATATTTTGATCCAATCCTGTGAGATTCACCGGTATAGTTGAGTCCCTTATGTGACATTTCTGTATAGAAAGTGCATCTATGGCAAAAATTGATCCCACATTTGTATTAATGATTAACCTCTCTCAATTTTCAGATTACTATAAATTTTTCCTTGTTGTTTTTTAATATCTTGTAAAATATCTAGTGCTTTAAGCATATTTTTTCCAGTTTCCTAAGGTAACATTAGATGGTAGGTTGTCTATATTCTCTAACATGCAACTATTGGAAGTGTAAACTGTCATATCCTTTTATTTTTAACTCATGTAATTATTTTGACACATTAAATATTTATTAAACCAAGTCATACTTTTCTTTATGGGATGGTTATCTATTATGCTTCATTTACTCTTTCAAAACTCTCATGTTATCTGATCAACTATACCAAACCATATAAGCAATACAAAATAATCAATTATTATAGCTGATTCTTATTATGTTATTATTAACCAGTGAAATCTCTGTGTAATGCATATGTTAGTAACCTAAAAGATTACAGAATACATTAGATAATGAGAAGAGCAAGGCATCTTCGTTCAAATTCAAATTCTAATTTGTACCAAGTTTGATTCATTTGTTAAGCTAATTTATTTAAATCACAATCCCTTAATTCATTAATTCAGAGACTTTATATCTCAGAGCCTTATTGTAAGACAAACTGAGATAATGAGATGGTGAACAGTCTAATTATTTTAGAGGGTAAACATAATTAATGGAAAGAAGATGGGATCTGTGAATAGACAACAGTAATATTCCAAAACTTGCATTTCAAATTCTTGCATTGTTATTTGTCAATTGTTACCATATTAATGCTGTACAACACACCTCCCCCATTCTAGCTGAAATACAACAATAAATATTTCTTTCTCTCTGAAAGTGAACTGCTTGTCATTAACCACCAGCATGAAGCTAGCTGGGCTTGGTCCAGGCATTAAGCTGGGCTCTGGTCTGCTGTACGTGTTCCTATCCTAGGTATGAGTTTTTCATGGTAATGGCAAAAGCACCAATACTAAACTAACTCTACTTGTGTCATGTTCACTAATATCCTATTGATGACAGAAGGTCTCATGAGCCAAAAAACAAAAAGAAAAAAAAAATGTCTAAGGGGGGGGAATTAACTCCGCCAACCATAAAGCCAATATAAATTATAGGAAGTGAGAAATACATCTTTGCACATAGAGTTGTGATGAGAAAGAAACGGAAGCCACGTGAATATGTTGTTAGAAATGTCATGATCATTTATTAAGTATTTATGTGTATATTTGACTCTTACAAAAACCAGATCATAAAGAGAAGAGTGGCTTATCTCACAAAGTCTTTGCTGGGGAAATCGATCTACCTATGTTTAAGCACTAGCAGCTAAAGAGTTAGTTTTAATGCCATTTAATATAGGAATACACTAGCATAGATTGTATTCATGGAAGGTCAGTGATTAAAGGAGGACGTTTATAATTCTCCCGTCAGGCACAGAGAAGAAGTACTGCACCTCCCTAGGGTAACGCCGCAAGATGTCTCTCTGACTTGATTCCTTTACTCACTTTAACATTGTGTATTGAAGCACATTCCCAGTTAACAAAATGTCAGTGATTGGTAAACAGGTGGGATCCATCAATGAATTCTATCACAAATAAATATTTTTTCTGTAATAATTGGTAAAGTGGGAAATATAATCCATGGCAGGTTGGATGGCATAAATAAACATTGGATAAATGCTGATGGAAACATACAAGAAATTCTTGTGAGAGGTTTACATTCATTTACTGCAGTTAAATCTAGCTTAATGTACTTTATTGCGTCAATCAATGTGATCATTTTGTGTGAGTTTATAATACTACCTGAAAATAAAATATTTTTGATATTTATATCTAAATATCTTTTAGACATAAGATATCTAAAATAAAAAGTTTTTGACAGTTGATTGCGTTCTGTTTTCTTGCAGATTGTCTACATGGGCTGGTGTGAGGCCCGGGAGCAAGACCCCCTTCAGGACAGAGTGTACTCCCCAACCTTCCTGGCCCTGAGGGGCTCATGTCTGTACAAGTTTCTGGCACCTCCAGTAAGGGTTTTATCCAAATGTATTGGTCTTTTCCATATTATCACAACCGATTGACACCAATTTGACAACATCAAAGAGTATACTATCAATATTTTAAAAAAATATGATAGAGAAAAAAATAGAAACCAGTTTATCTGATTTAACTTACTAAAAATACATTTTCTGATGTAAACATTTATTTATCACCCTGGAAAAGTCTGGAAATTAGTTATTTATAAATAGTGAATCTATAAAATAATGGTTCAAATTATAATGCTGTTAAAAATCCCATGAAGTCATGGGAAAGGATATTTTAAGAAATATTTTCAAGCATATATCAGGGTATTTTGTTCATTGAATAAAAACTAATCAATATATCAGAAGTGGAATAAAGAAAGAATAAACTGTTTTAGAGCTCTACATGAATGAACATATTTACTAAACTTATTTTCAAAGGATCTTTCGAAAGTTTTAAAAAATGTATTCAGTATTTTTAATTACTAGTAATTTATTATTAGCAAAGAATAATAGGAAATCTCAAAATGATAGCATCTTGTCTAGCTGTTATTAAATCTATCTTACCCTAGTGGTAATTCCATAAGATGATGTTAACTCTCAGATTGTTTGTTTAAATTAGAGGATTCCATGCTTGGCAAACATCACAAATACATTCTGGTAAGCTATCATTTATGACAGTCGAACTATATTTATCTATGTTGTACAGGTCTCGCTAAGTAAAATCAATAGCATTTTTATCTTCTATTATACTCTGTATTCAAGTTATTGAGATTTGTATTAAATATGTATAGATACCTATTGGACCTTGCCTTGCTTTTGGAAACATGTACTTTGCACCACAGAAAACACTTAATAAATATTTATTGAATATAAATAGCACACGGCAGATCAGTCTCTTTCAGGTTTAATGATACATAGGATTTAGAAATCATCAGATCTGACTTGGCTGCTGTTTTAAATATCTGTGTCTACACAAAGTTTAAAGCACTAGGCAGGCTGGGAAAAATTAACATTTATGTATTTTACTTTATTGCTACAAAGAATAATTTCTTTGACAAGACAAGTAAATATATGTTTCCAATCTAAGTAAGTGAAATAACTGCATTGTGATTTTGGTGTGTTTGCAATGTCACAGTCATCCTGGAATTTCTTCTTATAAATTATGTATATTAAAAAAAATAGAGCTGTGTTGAGGTCTAGTATTCTCTGTATTTAACCAGTAAATAGAGAAAAAAAATTGTTTGTGGAACGTAAGTATTTAGTATTTATCGGTAGAGAATATATACATTATTTAAGATACCTAAGGACACTGGGCACCTGAGAACTGTTGCACATAACATAAATCATTTGCTGAAAGCATAAGACAAATGGTGACGAACCTTGGAATAGAGGAAACGAAAGTATTGTGTAGGGTCCTTTATGAACATAGCTTCACAGATGAGAGACTAAATGGACACATCTGTGAAAGTTTTGCTTATTTTTCACCATATTTATGCAAATCAAATAGAGTGGTAAATAACTTTCTCAGACAAATTACACAATATTTTCTTATCTCTTAAGGTAACCACCTGGGACTGGACGAGAGCAGAGAAAACATTCTCAGTTTATGAGATTATGTGCAAGATCCTCAAGGTATGATCAGTAATAAGTCAGTATTTGAATGGCTTTTCTTCAGTGAATAGTACCTCTGGGCTCATAAGTAGCTCACAAAAACAAATGATTCATGGAATGAAAGAAGAGACAAGATAAAGACAAATGAAAGAGAAAGAAAATAAACTAGACCAAAAAAGAAAAAAAATCAAAAATACAGAATGCACAGAAGTGCACTGGCACTAGGCTATCTGCTTAAATAACTAGCAAGCAGACTCTGCAGTCCCACTGTGAGTGAGGGAAGTGGGAGCAGCTCCGCCGGAGTTCACTGAGGAAGAAGAAAGTTAAGAAAGTTCAGTCGAAAGTAGTCTGAATTTAAATGTCAGTTGTTACCACTTTTTAAAAAAATTCTTTTATTTATTTATTTTTTCTCAATGAAATTGCAAAAAAGAAAGATTTGGGTAAAACCTGGAATTAGAAAATGTAGAAAATACAAAGATAAAAGGAAAGAAAAGTTTTGCTGTTTTGTTCTTAATCTCATGGCTTGACCATCTTTTTGTGTATGTGAAAGAACATACGATCATCATATATCAGCTGAATTTCATGCCATCCACAGGATTATTGCAATAGCAAGCCATCACAAATTCTGTAAAATATCATATGATTTCCACAGAATTTTTTAAAGAATTAAAATTGGAGTAACCTAATATATATTCATTTTCTACTGTAGGGTTTGTACGCTTGGACTCCCCACAGATTGATAATTAAATTCGTGCCTCGGGTTGACCTTGTTTCTATATCCAAGGGGAACTCATTTCCCTGTGCTTTATGTTAGCTATTTCTCTTCTGGTTAAAGACTTAGCAGAGTAAAAAGTCCTGAAACATTTTAAATATAATAAAATGCCTCAAAAGTATCTGATGGCAGAGAGACAAAATATAATTACCTCAAAAGTGTTCATAGTTTCTATTCCTTATAGAGAATTTTGGATTAAAGCTGAAGTTCCCTGAAGTGCAAAATCCAACTAAAAATATAACTCATTGATTGTTCATCTCTGTACATGCTTTGAGTTATTTTGTAGGAACAATGGTTTAAGGATACCCTGAAATACTTGAGTGTGTTGTTAGTAAAGAAGGGTCTGACAATTTCTAAAACAGGTAACCGCTATCCGAGGAAAAGGAGATCCTACCCAACTCCCGTTTTCTGAAATAATTGGTAAAACGGCTAATGAGATAGCTTTCTGATTGTGTATTTTTAGCAAAGCTACTCGTGGAATTAGATTTAGAAAAGAAAGAAGGACGTAAAGAAAAAGAAAGAAGAAGGAGGGAAGAAATGAAGGAAGGAAGAGAAAGGAAAGAGAGAGAGAGGGAGGGAGGGAGGAAAGGGAAGGAAGAACAGGGAGGGAGAGAAGAAAGGGAAGAAGGAGAGAAGGAAGGAGGGAGGGAGGGAGGGAGGGAGATAAGGGGAGGAGAGGGGAGAGCAGGGAGGGAAGGAAGGAGGGAGGAGGTGAGGGAAACAAAGAAATTTGCCTCAACAAATCAGCTTCATTTGTCTATTCTCTATCTATACGCTAACGTAACTTTTTCATACTTATAATGCAACACATATTTACATATTCTTACTTAGACTTATTTTCTAACTACTTTCCAAGTGGTTACAAGATCTTTAAAATCCTCTCTTTAAAATAAAGCTATTTAAACATTAGAACGTAATGCAGTTTATTATAATACTTTAAAAAGGATAATTTTAAAGGAATAATAAAAAAAATTATGTTTACCTCCATTGCCATATACAAACACTCGATATTTTGTATCTCTGTTAAAATATTTGACAAAGTAAGCTTGTACAATTCATGATCTGCTTTTCTGTGTAAAAATATGGCTTGAGATTTTTTTTCTATGACAGTCAATGTTCTTCAAAAACACCGATAACTTTTCGATAGATTTCGTCTGTCCCATCATTTGGCTGTATTCATTGAGTCTACTTTAAAGTTTTACATTTAGATTTCTCCTGCCACTTGTTCTTGCTATCAGGCATATCACAACAATCATTCTTTGAATGGTTAAGCAGAAAATTAAGTGTTTGCTATATCCCAGGTAATCTCAGCACTTGTTATGTGGCTGAGAAAAATGCCGAAAACGTGGCCACTTTAATTAAGCTTGCATTTTATTAGATGTTAACTAAATCAATAAAGGAGACAAAAAAAGTAAATAAATCAATGAGACAAAATAAAAATATGTAGGAAGGCCTGATCTTTGCTCAGAGACTTTTATGCTAATTCTTATTTCCTTTTAAATTCTGAGCTTTGGAAATCCCATGTGGAAAAATATTTTAACATATTCAAGATACTAAATCCATGTGACCAAATTGCCTCCTACAAAAGTCATCTTGACTTAGGCTGCCATCAGAAGTGTCTTTGAGAGTGCCTGTAATATTTACACTCTGACCAAACTAAAATCAAAGACTACGTCTCATTTTAACTTTCTATATAAAATTTTCTATAAGCCTTAGTTTACTTGAATTTTTTTTTTTAAAGTTAAGTTCTGGGACACATGTGCAGGTTTGTTACTACGCCATGGTGGTTTGCTGCACCTATCCACCCTCCATCTAGGTTTCAAGCCCTGCGTGCATTAAGTATTTGTCCTAATGTTCTCCTTCCCCTTGCCCTCAAACTCTTGACAGGCCCCGGTGTGTGATGTTCTACTTGGGAAAATTTTTACATAGGTTAGTGAGGCCTGGAGATAAGTATTCTCAGACATCAAATACAATGTAAATCTACCTTCAGTTGTATGTAATTAAGGAAGGTCCCTCCCACTAGTACGTACAATGCTGGTGCTTTGTGCTTTATGGCTTGACATCAAACATATAAAGCCATCCTTCAAGCTTCCCTTTTCCCAAAGGAAAATTTCATGTAGCATAAAAATAGAGGTGAGGCTATGGCCAAATGGCTTATTTTTGATGCCAAATGGCTTATTTTCCTGTATGCAGATTACACTGTGGCCTTCTCCTGTGTCAGGATCAGCAGTTGGAAAATGATTAGTTTGGTAAGGAAGCCAGCGAGATTGGTGGGACTGGTGAGCAAATCAGGAGAATCTTCTACAACCCCGCCCTCTCCTGCCATGAGGTAGCAGTTCCGATGCAAGCTGTGCAAGTTGTAGATTTCTGCCTCCAGGAAGTGACCCCTCAGATGAGGCTAATTAAAAGTCAGATTTGAATATCTGGATCACAGAACAACTGGCCTGTGACCATTAATCAGGAAAATCCTGTCCCTTCTGATACGTTGATGATGAAGCTACAGCAGTAATAACAAAAATGAAGTAATAAAGTTCATCTGGTATATGTAGCTTGCCTGTAAGTGCCAGATATTGTCTTTAGTGCTTAGTATATGAATTCAGTTTACATTTATATAATCTGTCAGTTATTGTTATTCCCATTTTACAGATATGGAAACTGAGGTCAAAAAGCTTAAGTAAATAGCCTAAGTTTACATAGCTAGTAAATTTCAGAGCTAAAGATATGAAACTTGCAATGCCTCAAAATTCTGCACTGATACATTATACTGCACTTACTACACTGTCTCTTTCTCTCTCTAAGTGCAAATATTTATAATTGGGGGAAAAAATGGGAACCAGAGAGCCAGCCTGGTACTGAGGAGAGAGCAAAAGTTTCAGAATAAGAGGCACCTGGCAACAAATGCCACTTCTGTTACTAAAACCATTACCCTTTACAAGTGTATTGGGCACTATGAACTTCAGTTCTTCATCTGTGAAATGCAGCTGTTGATGCATACGGTGTTGTGAAGATTAGCAATTTGTTAACTGATTTGTGAATGCCTTTTTGTCTGTTAATTCACATTACAGTTACTCGGAGTACCTTCTGTGTGCCTGTAATATGTAAACTTTCCCAGAAGTACAAATAAGTGTGTGTCCTCTCAACAATGCAAACAAGTTTGTTGCAGCTGTAGTCAACTTGAGTGTGAAGTTGGTGTTGGTGTTTGGATGGAACAGATCATGGGAAAAGGCCATAATAAAGCACATCAACCTTATCTGAGGAACAAAGGACAGCCATTAAAGCATGTCAAGCATGGGGAGAGACTGAGCTTGCCCATTTAAAAATCCTCTTTGAATCCAGCGTGAGATGGTGTTGAAGGGGCCAGCGGGGAATGCTCCTGGAGCAACTTCTGGTCAACAAGCGTATGGCCAGTGGGCCGGGGAGGCAGAGGAGAGGGATATTGAACACCTGCCCCTTTCAGAGCTAGCATTAGACGTAGCAAGAATAAGTCTTTGGACCATAAGGATCATTTTTTAGGTTTTTTTTATGATACTGTTTTTCAGCCTGACATTACAATTAAGTTTAAATGTTTGAATAAAGTATACATAGGGAACAATATTGTCACACTGATATTCTTCTAGAATCATTTTTAGGAAAACAAAAACAGAAAACATGGCTGGCAGTGTTGAATGAGGGCGGTGCTCAGAGTGAATGTAGGTGGGAGATGGGGAAGGAGGAAGAGGGATTGATCAACTAAGTAGATACGTTATGGGGAAAGTGAAATAGGAGCCTGATTTCTCACTGTCAGAGATGAAAGTCATAAACACAGAAAGAAAGGAGCCTAGAAGAAACTCTTAGTTACTGGATTAGAATTAGAAATATTGCTATGCAACCTCAGTTTGCAATGCATGTGTTTATACGTACGTGTGTGTGTGTGTGTGTGTGTATTTGTGTTCAGCTGTACCTTACTTACTCTGTCCCCAAAATATCCGGGGTCAGAGTTCTCAATAGAAAGGAGCACACTCAGCAAAGCTCTCTGTTTCTCAATATTATTCACTACAAAGAGCCAAAACTCTGTAGATAAATGTTTGATGGCTGGGTTGTGGCATAGAAAGTAAAAGATGAGGCTAAGTCATACTACTGTGCTACAAAATAAAGAGGTGCTCAGAAAATGATGGAGACAGATCAAAAGACACAAAAGCTACTTCCAAGAGCATCCATTGGGCAAATTCAGGACAAGTTGAGCTCAAGTCTGGGCTAAAATAAATGTTAG